AGTACACGTAAAACGATTATGAAGTGCATCTTCCGTGTGGTAGCCATAACAACCTCTCGAACTGTTGGTTGTATATCTACCAAATTTGACAGCTTTATTATAATAACTTGTTTAATGCATCCATTTTTTTACCAATGTTTCTAATATATAAATCAACAGAAATAATGCATAAAATGGTATTACCATCAGCTTATGATTTTACTATCGTATTTAGATCACATATTTGTGTTAATTTATATTATTATATTTACATGTATCAAGTCCTTATAACAATTACATCATTTTTATGTCCGAATTCAAATAAGGTTGATACATCATACCTATTATACTTATACATATTATTAACTATATTTTCAGCATCCAAAAGTACTAGAATCTGTACTTTACTAAGAAAGTGTTATCCCAAATATAACATTAGTTACATTTGACCACTTTCTAAATGGCATTGTGTATTCATGGCATTGTGTATTCATTATTTCTTAACATAAATGATGTTGACTTGAGCGTTTGCCATGATTGCAATTGACTCCAAAATATAAGTGTGGTTTGTTTATATAAGACAGAAGCTACTTGATGAGCAGAGTTATCAATGATCCTTCATCAAGACAGATCAAACTTTTCATTGATATTATTTGTGAACATAGTTGATAGTTATGGCTGATCAAAGTAAATTAATGAGACTGGTTCAAACAACAACATGTGAACTCTGCTGTAAGATAATACATTGTAATAACACCGTTAACACTGGCTATTCAATTAGAATGTATAACAACATCTAACAATACACTCTGTACACATCCTGCTCTAATTATTATTATTTTATGTTGTGGCTGTCATGACTTATCTTTTTGGGCGTTTTGCCTGTGGATTTGTAGCCATTTTGACTTTTGAGGTTTGAAGCCCTTACGACTACAACCCAATTAAAACTAGTTTTCCCCAATATGCATAATGGTATTGGCATTTGCAACCAAGTGAAGCTCTTACGTTAATACCGTTCCATCACACATGATATAATAGATACATGAATGAAGCTTAGATGTAACAAATTAATTGTACATGTCAAGCTAGATATGTATCTGCCAGTTTTTAATTTGAAGATTTGAATAGAAATTAATGTTTGGACAGCGTTTCCTTACTCAAATACGAATTTCTGCAAAGCATAGTCAGACAAATGTCATGGATAAAGATAATAGAATGCACCGATTATCTCATAATAATATCTTTATTACATCTAGTAAATTGTCAAAAGACATACACCTGCTTTCATCTGAACCCAATATGCGATACACCAATATCCAGGCGTGAAATACCTATGCAAAAGAACATTATCAGTAGAATTCTCAATGTGATATTCATTGCTGAATATAAAAAAAAGACGATCCATAGCCGAAGGCAAACCCAATGGTAAATAATCATGTCTAAGAATAATATATCTCAATGATCACATTTTTAATTTCCAACTTTGTTATCACCTGTTGATTTACCTGAATCTTCCAAAGGGATACTACATGTATGTAGTTTTCAGTTGTATCATAAGTTAAGTTGTTCATATAATATGGTGCTGACCGACAGCTTCACCCATTCTGGTTGTAGATGTATTAATCAACAAAAAAACCATGTAAATTTATCTGCAGGTCTTCACTGTACCACCTTTGTTTATCATATACGACTTCTCATTCTCCAATCGTCGGATAGGGTCGCTTCATGTGGCCCAACAAGTCAATGGAGTCAAAATTATATTCCATAATAAGCAAACGTTGAACTCGCGAAGAAAACGCCCATCTATATTTCAAACTTGGACTGTCATTTCCCCCTATATAACGAAACAGCAAACATAATATCTTATGCACTTTAATAACGAAGATGACATTTTGTTTTACTTTTCGTTACAGCCCACAGGGGAAAACATACGATTTTACCACTTTGGTGAACTTGAAAGAATGAAGGGAAGATATGGATTCTTCAAGGAAGCAAACGTCGTCATCAAGCAACAACCACGCAAAATAACACAGATAAGAATGAGTGATAACTTTGAAGAACTAAAATGTGGGTTCAAAATGGGAACTGATATGACCAAAACCGATGATGGAAACTACAAGTTTTCCACAAGGACTAAAGTAAGTACAGTACATATAAATGGAAGAAAATCATATGCATTAAATTTTCTTCAAACACATACTTCAAACTGTCGAAATTATATACATAACAATATCTTTAAAACAAGCATACAACACAAAAACAACTTTTACAATAGAACCCCTTAAACAATTGATAAGGGATCACAATAACTAAATATAGTATCATACCTGTTACTAAACATGCTCAACATGGTCGTCACTACTGCTTATTGATATGTATAGGCTAAGATGTTTACATACAAAATACACACATCCAAACACAGACCCTGAATCAACTTTCTCAGAAAGTATAGGGAAAACACATCTTTTCTCTGATGAATAAAAATCAGACTATGATTATTGATTTAAGGTGAATAAATATACACGTTTTCTCATTTTAGACATTTCTCAAATTCATACCATTCTTTAACAGAGCACAACATCGTCTGGTCCTTTCAAAGAGAGTCTTCACCCCATATCATATATTGATGTCGGTCATTCCCATGTATATATCCCCAATTTATATTTGTATAATTGCAGATATTGACGTGTGGACCATTTGACTATGACAGCGAAATGCTGGAGGCTTTCCAAAACCCACCAATAACCCACCTGGCAGAGCTGAAGTCCCTGCCCATTGGCACTAGGGTTTCTGTTGAAAGAAAAGTAGTCGGGGTTTGTATGCTTTAAAATAATGAACATGTATGTTTCCCTTATTTAATAACATATCACACTTCATGTCTTAGATACAAATATGTGCCACCTTCCTCCACACATGTTAAATACCTAGAAAAATGAAAATTAACTCTACAATTATTACATGTTTCTATCAATATTCATAACATTTAAGCTAATCTTTCATTCCTTTACAGGTCTCAGAACACAGCACTGTCCCGTTGAAGACAATTACCCTATCACAAGACACGACAACCACACAGTTGAAACTGTGGGGAAGTCACGCAAACACCGAGGTGACAGAGAATGATGTGATCAAGGTACAATGTTGTACCCTGAAAGAATTTCAGCAAAAACTAGATCTGAATTCCTGCATGAAAACAAATATTGTGGTGAGTTAATTAATATCCAGCATTTGGTTGCTTTAAGACAACTTCTCAAGACACATTGTAAAAAAAACCCATGTAAATCTATTTATACTAACATTGTTTCAAATAAAAGTCGTCATTACATACACAGATATAACAGATATAACAAATATAAGGAGAGAAAACACATGTTGAATTGAAAAACATGATCTCTTGAAAATATATACACAGTAAAAAAAGTGTTGCACCCCCACATTAATACGTTTGATACATCACAACATTTAAAACGCCCGACTCTGGTTTTAATGGTAGGTATTCCTTGGGGATCTGATGTTAAATGTGTAATGTTTTCGGAGGGAAGATGATCACCAAAACGTAGCAATCAGCACGTGAATTGCATGGTGCATGACATTTGCAGATTGCAGTATCTTCTTAAGCTCAACATCGCCTATAAAAGATGTTCTCTGACAGCCCAGTTTATTGTAACCCACAATGCCGGGTAGACGATTGTCAGAAGCAGTCAAGTGGCAGATTATTGGCCTTCATGGAGCAGGTCTTTCGTTCAAGGAGATTGGCAGAAGAACCGGACATCACTACTCAACAATAAGCCGTTTGGTCAGAAAACACGCACAAACTAATGATGTAAGGAATCGCAGACCCTCTGGCAGACCACGTAAGACCACAGTTAGAGATGACAGAGCGTTGTTGAGGGTGGTAAGGCGTCATCCATTTGCTACAAGCACAACCTTGAAACGTCTTTGGCTTCCTCGTCAACAGTTCAGTACCCAGACCGTGAGAAATCGTCTTAAAGCTGCAGGGTTGAAGTCCAGAAGGGTTATCAAGCGACCTAAACTCAGACAACCACAAACGACTACGTCTAGCCTGGTGTAGACTGAGACAGAACTGGAACTTGAGGTCCTGGAGAAGAGTCCACTGGTCGGACGAAAGCAGGTTCCTTCTGCATGTTGTGGATGGCAGAGTGAGAGTATGGAGGCGTCCTGGAACAGCTTATACTGCAAGAAACATCATGCCAACTGTACCATATGGAGGTGGATCTTTTATGGTCTGGGGATGCTTCTCATTTGATTGTAAGCTTGATTTAGTGACCATACGAGGCAACTTGACAGGGGAGCGCTACATCCAAGAGGTGCTGAATCCAGTTGTGGTGCCCCATTTTGACAATCATCCACTGGCCACCAGACCGATATTCATGGATGACAATGCCAGACCACATCGTTCACGAGCTGTGACCCAGGTTATCCACAACAATGCTCTGACGCAGATTCCATGGCCAGCAATGAGTCCAGATCTGAATCCTCTGGAACATGTAGGGACGCCTGATTTATCGTCGGGACCCTCCTCCACAGAACTTGCGTGAATTGGAAGCAGCATTACACGAGGAGTGGCAGCAGCTGCCCATGGAGCGATTCCAACGTCTGGTGAGGAGTATGAGACGAAGACTTCAAGCTGTGATCCAAGTGCTTGGTGGAAGTTCTCGATATTGACTTACTGTGTTCGTCAAATCTCCATATGACATTCTTACCCTATTGGATGAATTTGGTCACTAAAAGTTATTGAGATGTCACCATACTTAATGCGTCTTCGTTGTTCGTTCATTTTTCGTCAAAGTTCAGCATGAGATTATTACATGCCATAAGGTCATGGAATACCCCATTTAAGTTCATTGTATAGACAATACACTGGTTTGTTGGTATACACGAAATCCTGGTTATAATATTAATTCGGTTATCTTTACACCCTTTCAAAACACCCCTCCATGAAAAAGTATAGGGGGTGCAACACTTTTTTTACTGTGTATAGTTACACCATGTTCATTGTAGGTGGTGGAACAACCTGTGGACACGTACACCGGATGTATTGAGGCCATCGGATTTGATGAGTAAGTATAGAAAGTGTGCAAACAAATAACATATCCACACACCCTGCAAAGTTACTCCAAAATAACCACATTTCATTACTTGCTGCTAATTTAATCCAAACAATAGCAACTTGGCTGAGCAATGACTCATGACTAGACTTAGTACAATAAAATGACATTATTGCCATTAGACTAGCTATTAGAACAGATTATAATGGTGAATTCACCTGTCACCACTTGATCTAGTCACAATGGTATTTTAAGTATCGAGGTATATTTAGTAAACGGACAATGAAAATCTTCACCAGTCTATGTAACTAATACAAATACTATTCCTATAAGAATCAAACTCAGAAGTTGTTTAAAGATGACATGAAATGTGTATCAATGTTAAACATGGTCATCTCATTACAGCGAAATCCCAATGGTCATGGTTAACGACCAGCTGCTTCAGTGCGACCGTCAGACAATTGAAGCAATGTTTCCTGACAAAGAAATCCCAAGAGGCGATGTTTTGATGTCCATGTTTTGATGTCCATGCAAGATGCAAGACCAGTAAATACGTAGTAGGGACATTCTATAGGGCAGATAAAAGCGAGGCTTACTGGGAGTTGATAGATCAGTCAATATGTAATGCAATAGGTTTGAATATACCAACTATTATAGCTGGGGACTTAAATCAAGTTATTCTTAGAGAAAGTAAGAGCAAAATAGATCACTTACAAGCAATATATGGGTTGACCCAAATTATAACCGAGCCCACCAGGATTACACCTACCTCCAGAACCCTGATTGATTTACTGATCGTAACTAATGCAGACAGTGTGTGGAGTTTGGGTGTATCCCATCCTATATGCAGTGATCATTGTCCTATATTCGTCAAAATTAAGGCAAACATACCCAGCAATGCAAATTTTAAAAGAAAAATCTATAATTACAACATGGCTGATAATGAAGAAATTATTGATAGCTTAACTGAGACAAAGTGGGATCATTTGATATCATCCAGAAATGTTGACATTATGGCAGAATGTTTTACCCGGACAATTACTGACGTATGTAATAATCATATTCCTAACAAATGTGTAACAATTAGACCAAATGATCCACTATGGATCACTAGTGAGATACGTCGACTGATCAGGAAAGGTAACAGAATTCATAAGGTTGCTAAAAAGCCTAACTTAGAATCTGATTGGACTAAATTTTGTCAAATAAGAAACCGTGTTATCTCCCATGTTCGCACTGCAAAGAGAAAATATGTACTCAAGATTGATAGTAAAATTAATGTGTACGGCGAAAAAGTATGGTGGCGGCTTGTTAAAAAATATCTGAGGGGCACCAGTAATACAAAACTTCCTCCCATTAATTACCACGATATACCATATGATGATACAAGAGATACTGCAAATGTGATGAACAATTATTTCTCTGACCAGGCATCTGTTAAATATCCTGATAAAACTCTCCCTTATATTAAGCTCAAAACAGAAAAATCGCTCTCTACTATCATTCTAACAACAAAGGAAGTTCAAGATGTTCTCCTCTCTGTTCATGTAACTAAAGCAACAGGGCCCGACGGTATCGGCAATAGATTATTGAAATTAAGAGCTTCAGCGATATCATATCCACTGGCTAAATTGTTTAATGTATCCCTGGATAAGTCTACTTTTCCGGTAAGTTGGAAAGAAGCTTCCGTTGTGCCTATTTATAAGAAAGGTAATATTAATGAATGTAGTAATTATAAATAATCATGTTTAAGAATAATATATCTCGATCACATTTTTAATTTCCAACTTTGTTAGCATCTGTTGATTTACCTGAATCTTCTGAAGGGATACTACATGTATGTAGTTTTCAGTTGTATCATAAGTTGTTTCATATAATATGCTGTTGACTGACAGCTTCACCCTTTCTGGTCGTAGATGCATTAATCAACAACAAAAACATGTAAATTTATCTGCAGGTCTTCATTGTATCACCTTTGTTATCATTGACTTCTCATTCTCCAATCGTCCGATAGGCGTCACTTCATGCAGCCCAACAAGTCAAAGGAGTCAAAATAATAATCCATAAGCAAACTTTGAACTCGCGAAGAAAACGCCCATCTATATTTCAAACTTGGACTGTTATTTCCCCCTATATAACGAAACAGCAAACATAATATTTTATGCACTTTAATAACGAAGATGACATTTTGTTTTTCTTTTTGTTACAGCCCACAGTTGGTGAAAACCTACACTTTTTTCACTTTGGAGAAATTTCAAGAAGGGTAAATATGGATATTTTAAGGAAGCAAATGTTGTACTGAAGCGACACCCCCAGGAAATAACCACTATAAGAATGAACGATAAGTTTGAAGATTTCACAAGCAGTTACAAAATGGGAACGGACATGTCAAAAGCAGAAGATGGGATCTACAAGTTCACACAAAGGACGAAAGTTAGTACATTACATATAAATGGAATAAAAACAGACCCTGAATCAACTTTCTCAGAAATTATAGGGAAAACACATCTTTTTACTGATAAAAAAAAAATCAGACTTAATTCTTATATATGGCCTTTCATGATTATTGTTTTAAGGTGAAAAGAAAACACACGTTTTCTCATTTTAGACATTTCTCAAATTCATACCATTCTTTGACAGAGCACAACATCGTCTGTATTAAAACAATTTAGATCTTTTTATGTTTACTATGGAGGGATGATGTTATAGATTATGAATCTACTCACTACCGACCATCTGGTCCTTTCACAGGGAGCCTTCACCCCATATCATATATTGATGTCAGTCATTCCCATGTATATATTCCAAATTTATGTTTGTATAATTGCAGATATTGACGTGTGCACCCTTTGATTTTGACGAGGAAATGCTGCGTGAATTTCGCAACCCAACCTTGACAAACCTGGATGAACTACCGATCGGATCTAGGGTTTCAGTCCAAGGACGAGTAGTTGGGGTTTGTATGCTTTAAAATAATGAACATGTATGTTTCCCTTATTTAATAACATATCACTTCAAGTCTTAGATACAAATATGTGCCACCTTCCTCCACACATGTTAAATACCTAGAAAAATGAAAATTAACTCTACAATTATTACATGTTTCTATCAATATTCATAACATTTAAGCTAATCTTTCATTCCTTTACAGGTCTCAGAACACAGCACTGTCCTGTTGAAGACAATTACCCTATCACAAGACACGACAACCACACAGTTGAAACTGTGGGGAAGTCACGCAAACACCGAGGTGACAGAGAATGATGTGATCAAGGTACAATGTTGTACCCTGAAAGAATTCCAGCAAAAACTAGATCTGAATTCCTGCATGAAAACAAATATTGTGGTGAGTTAATTAATATCCAGCATTTGGTTGCTTTAAGACACAACTTCTCAAGACACATTGTAAAAAAAACCATGTAAATCTATTTATACTAACATTGTTTCAAATAAAAGTCGTCATTACATACACAGATATAACAGATATAACAAATATAAGGAGAGAAAACACATGTTGAATTGAAAAACATGATCTCTTGAAAATATACTTACACCATGTTCATTGTAGGTGGTGGAACAACCTGTGGACACGTACACGGGATGTATTGAGGCCATCGGATTTGATGAGTAAGTATAGAAAGTGTGCGAACAAATAACATATCCACACACCATGCAAAGTTACTCCAAAATAACCACATTTCATTACTTGCTGCTAATTTAATCCAAACAATAGCAACTTGGCTGAGCAATGACTCATGACTAGACTTAGTACAATAAAATGACATTAGACTAGCTATTAGAACAGATTATAATGGTGAATTCACCTGTCACCACTTGATATAGTCACAATGGTATTTTAAGTATCGAGGTATATTTAGTAAACAAACGATGAAGATCTTCACCAGTCTATGTAACTAATACAAATACTATTCCTGTAAGAATCAAACTCAGAAGATGTTTAAAGATGACATGAAATGTGTATCAATGTTAAACATGGTCATCTCATTACAGCGAAATCCCAATGGTCATGGTTAACGACCAGCTGCTTCAGTGCGACCGTCAGACAATTGAAGCAATGTTTCCTGACAAAGAAATCCCAAGAGGCGATGTTTTGATGTCCATGTTTTGATGTCCATGTTTTGATGTCCATGCAAGACCAGCAAATACGTAGTAGGGACATTCTATAGGGCAGATAAAAGCGAGGCTTACTGGGAGTTGATAGATCAGTCAATATGTAATGCAATAGGTTTGAATATACCAACTATTATAGCTGGGGACTTAAATCAAGTTATTCTTAGAGAAAGTAAGAGCAAAATAGATCACTTACAAGCAATATATGGGTTGACCCACATTATAACTGAGCCCACCAGGATTACACCTACCTCCAGAACCCTGATTGATTTACTGATCGTAACTAATGCAGACAGTGTGTGGAGTTCGGGTGTATCCGATCCTATATGCAGTGATCATTGTCCTATATTTGTAAAAATTAAGGCAAACATACCTAGCAATGCAAATTTTAAAAGAAAAATCTACAATTACAACATGGCTGATAATGAAGAAATTATTGATAGCTTAACTGAGACAAAGTGGGATCATTTGTTATCATCCAGAAATGGTGACGTTATGGCAGAATGTTTTACCTGGACAATTACTGATGTATGTAATAATCATATTCCTAACAAATGTGTAACAATTAGACCTAATGATCCACTATGGATCACTAGTGAGATACGTCGACTGATCAGGAAACGTAACAGAATTCTTAGGTTGCTAAAGCCTAACTTAGAATCTGACTGGACTAAATTTTGTCAAATAAGAAACTTATCTCCCATGTTCGCACTGCAAAGAGAAAATATGTACTCAAGATTGATAGTAAAATTAATGATGTGTACGGCGAAAAAGTATGGTGGCGGCTTGTTAAAAAATATCTGAGGGGCACTAGTAATACAACATTTCCTCCCATTAATTACCACGATATACTATATGATGATACAAGAGATATTGCAAATGTGATGAACAAGTATTTCTCTGACCAGGCATCTGTTAAATATCCTGATAAAACTCTCCCTTATATTAGGCTTAAAACAGAAAAATCGCTCTCTACTATCATTCTAACAACAAAGGAAGTTCAAGATGTTCTCCTCTCTGTTCATGTAACTAAAGCAACAGGACCCGACGGTATCGGCAATAGATTATTGAAATTAAGTGCTTCAGCGATATCATATCCACTGGCTAAATTGTTTAATGTATCCCTGGATAAGTCTACTTTTCCGGTAAGTTGGAAAGAAGCTTCCGTTGTGCCTATTTATAAGAAAGGTAATATTAATGAATGTAGTAATTATAAATAATCATGTCTAAGAATAATATATCTTGATGATCACATTTTTAATTTCCAACTTTGTTATCACCTGTTGATTTACCTGAATCTTCCAAAGGGATGCTACATGTATGTAGTTTTCAGTTGTATCATAAGTTAAGTTGTTCATATAATATGGTGCTGACCGACAGCTTCACCCATTCTGGTCGTAGATGTATTAATCAAGAACAAAAACATGTAAATTTATCTGCAGGTCTTCATTGTACCACCTTTGTTATCATATACGACTTCTCAATCTTTAATCGTCCGATAGGCGTCGCTTTATGTGGCCCAACAAGTCAATGGAGTCAAAATAATCATCCATAATAAGCAAACGTTGAACTCGCGAAGAAAACGCCCATCTATATTTCAAACTTGGACTGTCATTTCCCCCTATATAACGAAACAGCAAACATAATATCTTATGCACTTCAATAACGAAGATGACATTTTGTTTTACTTTTCGTTACAGCCCACAGGGGAAAACATACGATTTTACCACTTTGGTGAACTTGAAAGAATGAAGGGAAGATATGGATTCTTCAAGGAAGCAAACGTCGTCAAGCAACAACCACGCAAAATAACACAGATAAGAATGAGTGATAACTTTGAAGAACTAAAATGTGGTTTCAAAATGGGAACTGATATGACCAAAACCGATGATGGAAACTACAAGTTTTCCACAAGGACTCAAGTAAGTACAGTACATATAAATGGAAGAAAATCATATGCATTAAATTTCCTTCAAACACATACTTCAAACTGTCGAAATTATATACATAATAATATCTTTAAAACAAGCATACAACACAAAAAGAACTTTCACAATAGAACCCCTTAAACTATTGATAAGGAATCCCAATAACTAAATATAGTATCATACATGTTAATAAACATGCTCAACATGGTCTTCACTACTGTTTATTGAAATGTATAAACTAAGAGTGAGTGAGTGAGTGAGTATGGTTTTACGCCGCTTTTAGCAATATTCAAGCAATATCACGGCGGGGGACACCAGAAATGGGCTTCACACATTGTACCCATGTCGGGAATCGAACCCGGGTCTTCGGCGTGACGAGCGAACGCTTTAACCGCTAGGCTACCCGACCGCCCCGTATAAACTAAGATGTTTACATACAAAATACACACATCCAAAAACAGACCCTGAATCAACTTTCTCAGAAAGTATAGGGAAAACACATCTTTTTACAGACAGACTTAATTCTTACATATGGCCTTTCATGATTATTGTTTTAAGGTGAAAAGAAAACATGTTTTCTCATTTTAGATATTTCTCAAATTCTCACCATTCTTTGACAGAGCACAACATCGTCTGTATTAAAACTATTTAGTTCTTTTTATGTTTACTATGGAGGGATGATGTTATAGATTATGAATCTACTCACTACCGACCATCTGGTCCTTTCACAGGGAGCCTTCACCCCATATCATATATTGATGTCAGTCATTCCCATGTATATATTCCAAATTTATGTTTGTATAATTGCAGATATTGACATGTGCACCGTTTGATTATGACGAGGAAATGCTGCGTGAATTTCGCAACCCAACCTTGACAAACCTGGATAAACTCAAGTCCCTCCCGATCGGATCTAGGGTTTCAGTGCAAGGAAGAGTAGATGGGGTTTTGTATGCTTCAAAAATAATGAACATGTATGTTTCCCTTTTTTAATAACATATCACTTCAAGTCTTAGATACAAATATGCGCCACCTTCCTCCACACATGTTAAATACCTAAAAAAATGAAAATTAACTCTACAATTATTACATGTTTCTATCAATATTCATAACATTTAAGCTAATCTTTCATTCCTTTACAGGTCTCAGAACACAGCACTGTCCTGTTGAAGACAATTACCCTATCACAAGACACGACAACCACACAGTTGAAACTGTGGGGCACAAATATTGTGGTGAGTTAATTAATATCCAGCATTTGGTTGCTTTAAGACACAACTTCTCAAGACACATTGTAAAAAAAACCATGTAAATCTATTTATACTAACATTGTTTCAAATAAAAGTCGTCATTACACACAGATATAACAAATATAAGGAGAGATAACATATGTTGAATTGAAAAACATGATCTCTTGAAAATATAATTACACCATGTTCATTGTAGGTGGTGGAACAACCTGTGGACACGTACACGGGATGTATTGAGGCCATCGGATTTGATGAGTAAGTATAGAAAGTGTGCGAACAAATAACATATCCACACACCATGCAAAGTTACTCCAAAATAACCACATTTCATTACTTGCTGCTAATTTAATCCAAACAATAGCAACTTGGCTCAGCAATGACTCATGACTAGACTTAGTACAATAAAATGACATTATCGCCATTAGACTAGATATTAGAACAGATTATAATGGTGAATTCACCTGTCACCACTTGATCTAGTCACAATGGTATTTTAAGTATCGAGGTATATTTAGTCAATGAAAATCTTCACCAGTCTATGTAACTAATACAAATACTATTCCTATAAGAATCAAACTCAGAAGATGTTTAAAATGTGTATCAGTGTTAAATCTGTTCATCTCATTACAGCAAAAATCCAATGGTCATGGTTAACAACCAGCTGCTTCAGTACGACCGTCAGACAATTGAAGCAATGTTTCCTGACAAAGAAATCCCAAGAGGCGATGTTTTGATGTCCATGTAAGATGCAAGACCAGTAAATACGTAGTAGAGACATTCTATAGGGCAGATAAAAGCGAGGCTTACTGGGAGTTGATAGATCAGTCAATATGTAATGCAATAGATTTGAATATACCAACTATTATAGCTGGGGACTTTAAACTAGATATTCTTAGAGAAAGTAAGAGCAAAATAGATCACTTACAAGCAATACATGGGTTGACCCAAATTATAACCGAGCCCACCAGGATTACACCTACCTCCAGAACCCTGATTGATTTACTGATCGTAACTAATGCAGACAGTGTGTGGACTTCGGGTGTATCCCATCCTATATGCAGTGATCATTGTCCTATATTCGTAAAAATTAAGGCAAACATACCCAGCAATGCAAATTTTAAAAGAAAAATCTATAATTACAACATGGCTGATAATGTAGAAATTATTGATAGCTTAACTGAGACAAAGTGGGATCATTTGATATCATCCAGAAATGTTGACGTTATGGCAGAATGTTTTACCCGGACAATTACTGATGTATGTAATAATCATATTCCTAACAAATGTGTAACAATTAGCCCTAATGATCCACTATGAATCACTAGTGAGATACGTCGACTGATCAGGAAACGTAACAGAATTCATAAGGTTGCTAAAAAGCGTAACTTAGAATCTGACGGGACTAAATTTCGTCAAATAAGAAACTGTTATCTCCCATGTTCGCACTGCAAAGAGAAAATATGTACTCAAGATTGAAAGTAAAATTAATGATGCGTACAGCGAAAAAGTATGGTGGCGGCTTGTTAAAAAATATCTGAGGTGCACCAGTAATGCAAAATGTCCTCCCATTAATTACCACGATATACTAAATAATGATACAAGAGATATTGCAAATGTGATGAACAATTATTTCTCTGACCAGGCATCTGTGAAATATCCTGATAAAACTCTCCCTTATATTAAGCTTAACACAGAAAAATCGCTCTCTGCTATCATTCTAACAACAAAGGAAGTTCAAGATGTTCTCCTGCCTGTTCATGTAACTAAAGCAACAGGGCTTGACGGTATCGGCAATAGATTATTGAAATTAAGTGCTTCAGCGATATCATATCCACTGGCTAAATTGTTTAATGTATCCCTGGATAAGTCTCCTTTTCCGGTAAGTTGGAAAGAAGCTTCCGTTGTGCCTATTTATAAGAAAGGTAATATTAATGAATGTAGTAATTATAAATAATCATGTCTAAGAATAATATATCTCGATGATCACATTTTTAATTTCCAACTTTGTTAGCATCTGTTGATTTACCTGAATCTTCCAAAGGGATGCTACCTGTATGTAGTTTTCAGTTGTATCATAAGTTAAGTTGTTTCATATAATATGGTGCTGACCGACAGCTTCACCCATTCTGGTCGTAGATGTATTAATCAACAGGTCTTCATTGTATCACCTTTGTTATCATTGACTTCTCATTCTTTCATCGTCCGATAGGCATCGCTTCATGCGGCCCAACAAGTCAAAGGAGTCAAAATAATCATCCATAATAAGCAAACTTTTACTCGCGAAGAAAACGCCCATCTATATTTCAAACTTGGACTGTTATTTCCCCCTATATAACGAAACAGCAAACATAATATTTTATGCACTTTAATAACGAAGATGACATTTTGTTTTTCTTTTTGTTACAGCCCACAGTTGGTGAAAACATACGTTCTTTCCAATTTGGAGAGGTTGAAAGAAGAAAGGGTAAATATGGATATTACAAGGAGGCAAATGTTGTCATGAAGCGACACCCACGTCAAATTACACTCATAAGAATGAACGATAATTTTGAAGATTTGAAAAGTGGATTCAAATTGGGAACAGACATGACAAAATCAGAAGACGGAAGCTACAAGTTCACCCAAAGGACGAAAGTAAGTACATTACATATAAATGGAAGAAAATCATATGCATTAAATTCCTTCAAAAACATACTTCAAACTGTCGAAATTATATAAATAATAATATCTTAAAAACAAGCATACAACACAAAAACAGAACCCCTTAAACTATTGATAAGGAATCACAATAACTAAATATTGTATCATACCTGTTACTAAACATGCTCAACATGGTCTTCACTACTGTTTATTGATATGTACAGGCTAAGATGTTTACATACAAAATACAGTCCCTCGCTACAACGCTACCAATGGGGTCCAAATAATTGGTGGGCGTTATAGACGATGAGCCGTTTAACCGAGGTCGAGGCGGGGGAGCGCGCTCAGCCAATCTCACGATCTTCGCCTTGTCTCGCACATTGCAATGATACAAGTTGTTTACCGTTCATAGTGTAAAAATATATATCCATTATGTTTTCGCCGTTTGTTTTTATTTACAAGCCTTAACTGTCACATTCAATGTGAATGTAGTCTACTTACATGAAAATATCGATCGATAATGGTAGTAACAGACGCTATGAGTGAAGAGCCAATCATAATTCATTACACAAGTACAGAGTGATTCAGTGGCATTGATTGGTCATGTTGCTTAAAATACGGAAAATGAGAGTTTTGACCAGCACTACGCGCATTCATACACATTCATGCAAATATAGATACACATTCAAGCCAGATTAATTGGTTTGATACGGTTACTTGATCCGAATCAAAAGGAATGACCGCCGTGTTGTGAAAGCAACGCCTCAAATTGGATTGCCCACTAATTAAGAAAATAAACTTCGCTTGTGGTTCTCTTTTATTGCATGCATGCGCTTCTAAGATCAAAGGATGTATAGTGTGAAAAGTTAACTAGTAGAACAATCGTATTTCCGGGACTTGCCGCGGATGTTTTCAAACAGATTTTTAGAACTCCACTCAGCGATAAACGGTTGATTATGCAATGAGAAGCGTTATGTGCAAATGAACAACGAACAACAATACAATCACGGCTGTGTAATTCTCTCAGTATTAAAAGTGTACATAAATTTTGGGAGCCATGCGATACCGCGCGTAGTAACCGAGGTAGCGCTTTATCGAAGAGCCCAATAGCGAGGGATCACTGTACACACATCCAAACACAGACCCTGAATCAACTTTCTCAGAAAACATAGGGAAAACACACATCTTTTTACTGATAAAAAAAAAAATCAGACTTAATTCTTACATGATTATTGTTTTAAGGTGAAAAGAAAACATCTTTGTCATT